TTTCCATTCAGAAAAAAAGCAGCTTGAGATATTCGTATTGCTACCGCTCATTACTAGACAGTGGTGTAGTATTCCTTCACCGTTGGCACAACTATTTGTGGTATCACATTTTAAACTGAATTAGGGAAATGATCTTGCTTCAAAATAACCCAGCAGAAAAGAAGGGTGTTTTTCAGCCCTTGATCCAGGTTACTTCATGGTCCCACAAAGACTTGTGCCAGCAAAACTCAGAGGCAAGTGCCAATGATAGCGACAAAGTAGGGCAGTGGGTGCTTTGGTTCTTGTCCCATAGGGCATGGCCTTCTAGAATGAACTGAGCTTTTTAGAAACTTATTTTAACATTTGGACAACACTCAAGTTTCAGTGGGAGCAACCACTGAGCTTTTTTAAGCACCTGGAAGCAGCAGACAAATGATGCAACACATTTTCCTGATAGATAGCCATAGACAAGACTAAATATTAGTTTTTTCTGTTGGGAGCTCATCCAAAAAACAAGCAGCAAAATCCCTTTTGACTCATGGTCATTATGTTAGATGTTTTATTCTATGTATTCATTTGTTTCGACAGCATGCCTTTTCTTCCATTTAAGAGTTTTTATATTATAATAGGTCCACTGTCTAGCTGATCCAAGAGACTTGTGTCAGAAGCTTTGGAGAAAAAAATAACACCCTCGTGTGGTCTGCCTGTCAGAAGCAGTAAGTACTGTCCCAGAGTTTGAAGGCCATACAACTGTCCTTGCCCTGTGTCCAACCCCCATATTATCAGTGCTCTTCAGTATGCAGAATAGCCCATTCCATTAGTGTGACGTGAACTGAGGATAAAGGCATCTACTGCATTTCATTCAGAACATTATATCAGTTCCTGCTAATCTTTTCACTGGAAATTCATGACACAGGAAAGCCTTTACAAAGGTGAAAGGATTTCACACACAGGAAGCTTATCTTATCTCTACTGCTCTTCCAAACTTTGTACTAGATTCCACGAAGTATTGATTTTTTATTTATTTTTACATTACTGGAATAGATTCAAGAGACTCATATTCTGAACACTGAAAGAGGTGAAGGTCTTATATTTTAACTGGGAAAAGCTGGAACATCCCAGCATTGCACAGTACTCACCACTTTCACGAGGCCTGGGCCGTACTTAACAAACGTGGGGCCTGGTGTGAAATCATCATGGAGCAAACAGTAGAGAAAGATACTTGCAAGGAAATCATGGAAACTAAACTGAATATGTTATGTTGCTGGGTACTGCAAAATTATTTTCTGTGCTTGCAATGGCTTGAAGATGGGTAACTTTTAAAGGGTATTACAACTACAAATTCATAAAAATAAAGTTGGTAGCACATAAAATGAGGAGATAAATCTACAGAACCAGGAATAAACTAATAAAAAGACAAGAAAAAGCTTCTGTGATCTGTATTCAGAGTTGCAAACAAAAACCCACAACTAGCACAGATGGCTTCATTACAAAATAAATGGCATTTCACAAATGACTATAATAATTTTAAAGTTACTGTATCAATTAAAAATCAATATTCAGAAGTGGTTCAAATACACTTTAGTTCTAAAATTAGAAATAAGAAATAAATCTTCAATATCCTCCATCCTACCTGAAGTACCTTATTTTTTTCTCTTCCATCTTCCTTTCACCACTGAAGAGTCTTGTGCAGAGGCACAGATGGCACAAGCATCAAGGGTATAAGGATAATTCCATATATCAGAGAATTGTATCCAAGCTTCCTATTCATTCTTACACTGTACTCTGTGCTACCTAATCTTCAGTGGGGCTCAAGGCAAAGACCTGTATATCCAAAACTGAACAATGGATCCAAGGCACTTTCAAATGTTCTATATTAAAACCAGAAGTTTAATATATTTAAATTCACAACATTTATAATAGCACACAATTCTAAATCACTTTATTTATTTTTAATGAAATAGTTTGAAAAGTAGACATACATTCTATAGTATTTATGCCAGAATGAACAGAAATGTACATAAGAAACCACTGTGAAGCCAAAAAAATAATTGGTGGTTTCCACTTCCTGGAGAAAGAGACCATGAAAGTCAAAGTGGGTCCAGATAACATTTTCTTGTATGAAGAATTACTACTGAAAAGGAGGAAATTAAAAATAAAAAGAAACAACATATACTGAAAACTGAGTACGCTGAGGACTTATGTCACCAATAATCTAACGGTCAGCTTGTTATAGACACATACTGTAAAAATATTTCTTGTTGTATTATCATTTCTGATTATTTCTACAGCTGGGATATGTGAAGTAACATGCCAGAGGTTACAAACAAATCTGTGCCTGAGCTAAGAGCAGAAGCAAAGTACTCAATTCTGCAACCCTCTTTTTAATCAGTAGATAGCATAACCATGTTTAAGAACCAGATCTGTACAAATACATCCCCCGATAAACATGTTTCATTGGCTGACTTTTTATAATGCAGCATAATTTAACATACAAGAGTAGCACTCTTCAGTTCCATTAAAAAAAAAAATATTCATTAAGTGTGCATGGCGATATTTTCTTCCCTTCATTCTATATTTGTCTTTCTACTACTAATTTCGCATCTAGCAAAATTAAATCTTCAGAATACAGAAAAATATTAACATGGGTCTTTCTTCTTTAAAATATTAAGCTAACAGAATAAAGTAGTTTCTTCCTCCTATCCTTCCACAGATTTTACTGTTTTTTAAGTGAAGCCGTACACATCCCAGTTGCATCTCTTGCATTTCCCATATTTAATCCTCTGTTCCCACAACTACCTCTTGAAGCAACCAGTCCGCTGTTTGAGAAGGAAGCATGCTCCTTGAAAGTCATTGGCACTGATCTCTGTTTTTATTTTCCTTTCTTTATAGTTAATTTGTAATATTATTCAAGCCACTGTGCTAGTGAAAACGCTGACTTGCTAATGGGACTAAGATCACCCTAGCAATGGCACTTATTATAAGAGTAAGAGTGATCATCTGGTGCTTTGGCTCTGTGACAGTCCTGAACTCTAAAGATCTGAGTTCAATTTTCTGCTCTACAGTAAACATCCCCTATGTCTTTTGGCAAGATATCATGACCCTTAGTCCATCCAAATTAATGGTGAGGTATAGGTAACATTTTCTTGCTCTCCTATAGAGCCACATCAAGTGTCTTGTTCACTAGAATTGACCTTTTCCCCCGCACCCCTTTTTTCTTTTTACTTTGTTCTGTTCTATGGCCACCCTCCCTATCAGCATCTTCCTCCCACAGCTTGGAAGGCCCCTATTTATTGGATTCTCAGGACACACAGTACCACACAAAAAGAAAGACTTAAGAAGAACCAGAAGAAAGCCAGCATGACTACAAACCAGGATAATGTCAGCTTCTAAAGCAAGAAAGCACCCTTCAGAAAAATCAACTGCTGGCATGTTAAGTGAAAAAAACAGAGTAAGGCATGCCAAAAAGAGTAATAATTCAAAAAGCATGGGAAGAAACTTGCAAAAGGCATAAGAAACTAATAATAAGCCATCAGCAACTTCTGTTCACCCCGAAGTTCTAAGGGAACTCAAGATAAAATAAGGAAGCACTAATTGTGGTACACTGCTTCTTGCCTAAGCTTGCTTTGGTACTAGAAGATGGCCAACATGATGCCAAATTTTTTTCAGAACTTCCAGAGAGACCTAAGGAAGACATAACCAATGAGCCACACAACCCTCTGGGTAAGTTAGTGGAAGTTATTCTACAAAACAAAATTAAAGGACATATGGATAAATACGAATATGGAAGAGTCAACATGATTTGTTTCTTGTTTGTTTTTTTTTTAAGGAAAACTTTGCCTCACAGATTTATTTAATTTCTCTGAAGAAACAATTAAGAATGTGGACAAGGAGTATCCCTTTGATATGGTCTATTTGTATTTTCAAAAGACATTTAGTAATGTTCTTCAACCAAAGACTCTTAAATAAACAAAACAAAATGGGAACATCCTTGGATGGATAAAGAAATGTTCAGAAGATCGGAAACAGAGCCTAAGAATAAAAAGCCAGTGAAGTCCCATAGGGTTCCGTGCTGGGACCTGAGTTCCTCAGTGTATTCAAAAATGAATTAAAGGGGAGAATACTGAGGTGACAAAGAATGGTGATGACACTAAGCTATTCAAGGCAATAAAGAAAAGAGACAGTTTCAGAAAGGCCTCATGATAATAAGTGACTTGGCAAAAAAATGGCAGATGAAATTCAGCTTAGATAAATGCACGGGGAGAAAGCCAACCTGAACTTTACGTATAAACTGTTGCTCTAGGCTGACTATTACCCGGCAGGATGAAAATCTTGAGGTTTTAGTAAATAGTTTGATGAAAACATAAACTCAGTACTTCTTAACAGTCGAAAAAAGACTGTAGAATATTAGGAATCATGAGGACAGGATTATTCCACTCTATAACTCCCTGACACATTAGTATTGTGAAAACTGCGAGTGGGTCTGATCCCTCTCTCCCAAAAGAAATAAGGTAGAATTGGAAAAGTTATCAAAAAAGGACAAGTAGCATTAGCGGAGGTGGGGAGCACAAACCAGTAAGATTCTTCCGTCTGGAGCAGTGACCATTTAATCTGAAATACACTAGTGGTTTAAAAGATAAAGGTGCAATGTAGGAGATTGTTCAGCATCTCTTTCAATACAGTAACTAGAGAACAGCACACAAGATGATCAGGGCTGGATTCTAAAATAACAGAAGGAAATACTTCTTGACAACTGTGCTGTTTAAGCTGTGGAACTCCTGGCCACAGAATGCTGTGGACACTAAAGGCCATGCAGATTCAAAAAGGGAATGACCAAACCCACAGGAGGAAAATCCACCAAAATGTTAAAGGGATGTGTAGATTCCTGGCTACTGGGGGAGTATACTGGGGAAATATCAGCATGCACTTGCTTGTACTGATCATCTTCTCTTGCCACCTTCTACAGACCACTATTTCTTGTTTGGTTTTGAGTCATTCATTGATGCAGCCATGCTACAAATTTAGAACTTCAGAGTCTGGAAGAACCGGCTTATTCTTAGTGTCCTGAATCTTTCTGTAAATTTTACCTGAGCTTCATACTTCAATTTGCACATTAGTACTCGTTGCCTGAACACATCCTTTATTGACAGCATTTTTGTACAAAGGAGTACCAACAGAATAGCTGTGGGCATCAGGTAGTTGTAGTTATAAATCTTCATAGAATACTTGATCTGGAACCTCCTTTCTACCTTCTCCTGCCCATTGCAGTTGCTTGCTTCATGGTTAGCAATCAATATTTGTCACCTTGGTGTCTGTGTTCTTCACTGTTGTGGTCTTATGCAGGGAGCAGCAGCTGGTTTCCCTGCCTCAAAGATCCTGGTGCAGTAAGGCTCAGGCTATGTGAGGGAACCACTGCTCTGCTGACCATTTCCCTTATGATTCCAGTACACAACTGCTGCTTCTTTTCCTGTACGAGTCCTGCTGGATTTAGGTAACTGGGTTAGATGGATCTTCAGTCTGATTTGGCATGATTTTTCTTACTTTCATCACTATCAGCTTCCCTAACTCCAGCCTCCTGCTCACCTTCCTCCCCTATGCTCCACTTCTCACTGCCTCCTAGAGCTGCTGCTGTGCCTGCCACACTCTAACTGCCTGGAATGGCTAAAATTAGCTGGAGAAGGTTGTGAGTAGAAGTGGGAGGACACAGTGCATAAGGGTATTGCCCAGGTTACTGTCTGGGCAGCAACAGCAGTAATTGTGACTTTCTGTCTCTTTCCAAAGAGATAGAAAGGATCAGACTCCTGCTTTTCATTATTCTACTTTGACAGCTTCTGTTTAGATGATCAATTCTTTGCATCGTGCTCTCTCTGTATCACTGCTAGCACAAAGGGGCCTTGACACTTGCACGTGTTGTTGCGATAAAAATGAAGTCTGGTAGTCAGGGCCATTCTCAGTCTTGACCTTCTGTCCTTCTACTAATTGGATCTGAGCAGGATCCTTCAGATCATGTTCCACTGTTCTTCATAGCATTCCAGGCTGGGGAAGTAAAATGAGTGATCTGGCAGCAGGTTTAAGGCAAAAAAACAAGGAAAAATTTTTCACTCAACACATTATTAAAATGGGGGATTCATTGCTACATGATGTGAGCACTAAATAAACAAAAAGAGTTCAGGAAATAGACTAATGGAAAGTAGGTCTATTATAATGGCTAAAAGTGCTCTGGACGCAGTTTCTAAACCACTGCTTAAGAGAAACAGAATACAGAGTTCACTTGATACATTCCTCTCCAAGAACCTTCGGCTGAGCAGTATGACAGGCAAGCTGGTAAGGTACATGCATCACTGGTCAGACAAGGAACGACTGTTCACACGTTCTTGAACTAGCATTTATGTAATTGATTGATGTCTTTAACTCCTTGTCATTGGGGAAAGGAGAGGAAGGATGGATTGGCTAGTAAAGTAACCTCTGGTAGAACACGGTTTGAAATTCTTGGATGCCATTATAAATGTCAGTCATTAATGTTTTATTAGACTAGGCACTCCCAGCACACAGCAGTTAAGCTGACAGATTCACACTGAACCTAATATTATCTGCAAGGTGAAATCAAGGAAGCTAAGATTATTTTAGCAACCAATCTGACTGCATTAGTAAGTAAAGCTGTTTCCTAGTTAAAAGACCTAAAAGTTCCAAATATGGACACATACTTTTTCTCCTAATGTTAAAAAACACACTAACATGGTTTTTTTTCCCTTTGGTTGAATATTAGGAAAAATATTTAATAGCTATTAATATATTATTATATTAGTATTTAGCACAGGGACTACAATACCTTTCTAAGGTCTCTGCCAGTACCAGTGTGTTGGGTTTGGTTTTTGTGGATATTCACTGTATTCATAACATGGCACAGATCTTTGCAGGGACAGCACTGCGCTACAAAGGCTACAGCCTAGGAAGGCACGTAGTGTACAGAAGATGAGAAGACAGAGAAGCAGCCAGACAAAATATTTTTGTGAACTTCATATTAAAACAGTCAATTACTCCTACTGGGGCAGCTGTGCACTATTGCTCCCTGTGAATATTCAGGAAGAAATGAATGGTGATATTCAAGAATGGACTCTGACCAGTCCTGTCAAGGTCTGGATGAACATCAATAGCACCTTAGGTAAGTGATATTAAAGGCATGTGCTAAATCTGAGATATCCAATACAGGTTCCTCTTCCCTTCACAGGAGTTCATCAGTGAGCACAATCATACCCCTCCCCACAAAATACATAATTGTATATGTGAGACTTGTGTGTCACTGGAGACCCTACACCATGTATGAAATGAGAGTGAAAACTTCAAAACAGGGACATGCTGAAGATTTTTGTCAGCATCAAAAGACGAATCTCTATTAGGGAAGCCAAAGGAAACCCAGAAAAAAGAACCCAAAGGAAATTGGCATCTTGCCTTTTAGATGGAAGAGATTAAAAAATAAACTCCAGACAATGGCTCTAACACCTCCCTAGTGATTTTTACCAGCCAAGTAACGATTTGCAGTCACAGCTCAAAACTGTGCCTGCAGCTCCTAATTGTCATTATGGAGCACTGGCTAATACTACAGCAAAGATGACAACTGAATTTGCCTCTGCAGGACTGAATTCTGCAACAATGGAAGCAGACACTGTGGTCCAGATTCCAGGGTCTTATGGACTCCTTTCCATTACAGGGTGTAAAACAATGCAAATTAAACACAACGCTCATGAGCAGGACGTGTTCTACCAGCTGCACAGTAAAAGTTATTTTCATCTTCAGAGTTTCAACTCAACTATTTTTTCAGCTGTGAGCTTAGGTAGTATATAAGGTAATGGAGGTTGGCCTACAAGTTACAGAAACCAAACTGTAATTTCATTTAAAGCTTCTCCACACAAAGCAAATGAAGAGGAAAGACCGGTCTCCAGACTCTTGCAGCTTAAAAATAATATAGCTGGAGATCAAAAGCTGTAATACCAGTTTCTTCTGTAGAATATAAACAAATGTATCAGATTCTGCCATGTTGATGTTAGCGTCCTTAAATCTCTGATTTTTTCAGTTTTGCTATTACAAAGCTGCTGCAATTTTTTTTTTCCCTATCTTAAAGTTGATTGAGCTGTTGTAATACTACTTAAAGTACTTAAGACAAGTCCTGCATAGGATATAAAGCAATAAATTTGTTTGCACCCTATCAATAACTCTCCATCTTAATTTAGAGTTAGCAGCATGATTTTTTATTCTATGAAAAATGTTTTATTTCCTGGATCTATTTAGGCTACAGTCTTGACTGCAGGAGAATCAGTAAAATCTCAATAGTGTTAGGAGCTCTATTGACATAAACTAGGGGTCTTTGAGTATAACTTGCTTGTGCACGGCTATTGGACATGACAACACCTCTAGTTCCCAAATTTTTGCTGAAAAGTACATATGAACAGAGGAAACGTGCCTTTAACGAGAGCTAGTTAGAAGCTGTAACAGCTTCTTGTGGTGAACTTGTGGTGAACTTCTGGTAAAGAAAGACAATGTGATTAAGAAAAAAGGTACACATACTAGCAGTGAAATGTACCTTATTTGCATGTTTTAACCAATAAAAAATTATGGTGATGGGAAAGGAATGCTTCCTTCTTAACTTGTAACTTTTTCATATTCAGTGTTGTCTTGGTAATCTTCAAAAGGCAGCCTAATTTCAACAGCAATCCATAGCAATGAATTTAATAGCAAAGCTGGTAAAATATTCGAGCTTCCAAAGGTCGAATAGAAAATTAAGTGCTCACCAAAACCGATATATCACTGGTCCTATATTTTGACATACAATCAACTGAAGTTTAATGGGGTGGGTGATTAGGAATCCCACAACAGAAGATGCGCTTTAGCTATTGCTGAATAGTGCTTAGGACAAGGTTTAAAAATCTTCACAATTAATGTAGCATCAACCTTTACATGCTTAGATTCAATATCCATAAAACAGAAAAAAAAAATCAAAAAATCAGTCTGCATTGACCTTCAAAAAAGAGAAATAGATAAGACCAGGAATGTTTCTTTTAAAAACAGCTAAAAGGAATACCTAAGAGAGTTAAATCCTTTCAAGCAGCATAGTGTCTGTCTAAAGATGCTCTACTAGGGGGACATGGTGAATGAATACTGCCTATTAGGAAGTCTTATGAAGAAGCAAAATTATACCAATATGGCCAAGTAGGAAGATGACACATAATTAGTAAATTCAGAAAATTAAGATATTATCCAAAACAAAACAAACAAACAAAAAATCATTAACTCATATGAGTTAACTTTAAAAATACCAAACCCACCATGCTGCAGACATAAAATTTGTTAACAACTTTCAAAAAACTAAAAAAATTTGGAGTAAAATAGCTACACGCTGTGGTATAATCTATTGCTTAATATGATCTTGGTACCTAAGAATGGGAAGGTGACATGTTTGATGCCAATTCTTAACTAGTATTCCAGCAGAGAACTGGGAATCAGTAAAAGACAAGTTGATAGGGTCTGTAAAGGACAACAAGACTGATAAACACATGGATAAATCTGATATCCTGGGGAAACATTAGGATGACTTTGGTAAAGGAAGTCATGGCTCACAACTGTGCTGGAGTTCTTTGAGATCAGTAAGCATGTGGGTGGAAGAGATCTGACTGGACTCTATTTGGATTTCCAAAAGACTTTCAGCAAGGTCCTGCACCAAAGACTCTTAAGGAAAGTAAGTAGCCATCGCCCATAAAGATGCTTTTTTGAAGAAATAAAAGGTTTGGAAGACAGGTATGAGTAAATATGAAGTTTTCATTACAAATGAAGGTCACTTGCCAACCTACACAGAGATCTATGCTAGCCAACGTATTCATAAATTACCCAGAAAAGTAAAATAATGAATTTACAAATTCTGTTCATTGAATTAGTCAAACACTGAAGAGGCCATGCGGAAGGCAAGAATTAATAATTCTCATGTATTAGAGAAACAGAAGCTTGTATGTGTAATTTGTGCAAATGTAAAGTGCCACAGGTGGAAAAAAATATTAATTCCAGCTTCACATATAAAATGACGTGCCCTGAACTAACAATTGCCATCCAGGAAAGATCCTGTAATCTGCCAATATTTTTGAGAGAATGTCTTCTTAAAATTCAGTAGTGGCTGAAGAGCAGATGATATATGAAGAATTATCACAAAAAGAATAAAGAACAAAACAGAAAGTTTCTTTACACTGTTATATGAACTGATGATGTGGTTCTGGTTTCCCCATCTCAAAA